TCTATAGGATGTCATTCACATTTCATTCCTACAGCATACTTCTTTCTTAAGCTACTTCAAGCAGATACTCGTTCTTAAATATTAAGAATGACAGTATTCATACCGTAACATTTGCAAAAGACTCGGCTTCTGAAGTCCCAACATTAACAATATAGACAACAGGTGACATGCTGGCATAAACCTACAATATCAATACAGATTTGATTAGGATTTACTGGAGATATGCATGTTTGGTAAGAGATATTGCCAAGACAAACATGACGATAAGAGCATCAAACTTAGCATGTGAAATAGATGCCATATGGTGTCAATTAATAAATACATGACATCAATTCTACACTTGATGATCTTACATTGGCATTTTAAGATCTTCAAGTTGCCTTACTCAACCAACCACAACTTGTTTTGGCAATACGTAGTTTATCACAATAATGCTGGAGGTGGGGACCCAATTTTTTTAGTTTCAAGTAACTGTGGAACGATCCTTGGTCACTGGCTCAAGATGGCAACCCTATTCAACCATCCATGTTTGTTTTTCAATATTCTGAACCAGCAACCATGTTAGCATAATGCCAGGCAGTGTAAGGGAAACTGGTAGTCCAGGTCCATGGAGGTACCTACATTGCCAGCTAAATGAGTATTCAGACTCAGAGCATACTGATATTTCTTTGTCATTGGATAAGCATGATGATATTTTCCTAATTCCTATATAAATCATCTCAATGTGAACTGAAAAATGCTACCAAGACATGCCTAGACAAATAAATGTGTGCAGACATTATTTTGCCTTGATACGACTAATTTCCAGCAGGACCACTCTGAGCACACACACAAAAATAAGTTCAAGAGAAGGAATAGGCAGAAATGATGATGCAGCAGGGGAAAGCATGGTCTTGCTTGGTTAAACTAAGGCCCTAACATCAAATGTCAAAAACTAACCAATAAAAATATATATGTATATATATACAAATTCAGGGATTCAAATAATTCACCTCTGCTTATTTGTCCACTTACATCCTAACTTACTGTATGTCAGATGTGTATATAATTCCTAAAGGGTAGATTTCAAGCAAAATGAATTTATATGTTAGAAATCAATTCATCCAGAAAAAAGCAAGAATTAACAATAAACATGCTTATGCTTGTATTGAAAAAAACAATAAAATATGCATGTGTTGGATTCAGTTTACAGATAATCATCCCAGAAATAAAACAATCAATTGTCAGATGTTTAAAATCATAGGAGTAACTCAGATAAACATGTCATTTACCAAATGAGCAAACTCACAAGATAACGTTGGTCTGGGGAAAGAGATGTATCAGTCACTGTCCAACGCAAACTTTTGGCAAGAATATTCTTCTGAACTTTCCAGCCTCTATCCACATTGTAAATTCTAATGTGGCTTCCCTGAAACACATACATGGAACAGATCAAATCAAAATTACAAGCCACACAAGAATAAATTGGTCAAGAAAATAAGAAGAATTCAACTGTTCCATAGTAGCCCAATTATTTCATCTAAGAATACCAAATTCTTGATTCAGATTGATCCTTACAATGCATTTGGTTGAAGTTATTCTAGTCATATTCAATGTTCAGATCTTAATTATTTGATATATATAATTTAATTATAATTTACATATTTGATAGATAATTAAACCAACTCTATTCATATCTCCAATTCCACAATGATAGATTTGTATTCCCATTTATCAAGAGAGAAGCCACAAAACTAACTAACTTGAATTAGATATGAAATTAAACTATACTATCTTTTTTCAACCTTTAATCCCGTTTGTACAACATTATCAACTCTTATTCTGTACAACTGAAATTTAAGCCAAACTCAAACTTAATGTGACCTGATGCAGTAGATGAGATACCTGAAACCCTGCAACAAATAGAGAGCCATCAGATGAAAACTGTGAGACATAAGCTCGGCTTGTCATCTGGTCCACAAGCCAAGGACCATTGACTGGCAAATATCTGCTCAGCATGTGACAACGATCAGCTGATGAGAATCTCCCTCTTCTTGAATAATTAGATTCTCTGGCTGCCAACATTGTCACTGTGGAAACAGGTAACTCCCTTTTTCCAGGAACAACCCGCCTGAGCTGCTCTTGAGGTTCTGATTGCATCTTTGTGAGCTGGGCTATCTCATGGTCTAGATTTCTGGTAGGCTGGTTGCAGATATGACTGCTACCTATATCATTGAAGTCTCTTCCACTATCAAAGAACTCAGATTCCATCTCCATTCTACTCATGGCATAACCCATTTCGTTAAACGCAATAGATAACCCACTTGCAGTTGCAAACATCCTACTCGTATTCCACCATGAATATTAAATGTACACTGCAAGAGCTTTCATTTACCAGTCTCTTTGAGCCTTAGCCCCAGCCCACTTCAGTTCATGTTCTTCCCAATCAACCCTACAGAATAGAAGATCTTAACCATCTTTCTTAAATTCACAGAACAAAAAAATTCATTTGAACAATAAAACCACTTGATTACAAGTAATAGTTGAGCATATCTGGAAGCTGAAAATAAACATGATTTCAAGTTTCTTTACTAACGATTTCACTAACCGACTTGCAGTTAAACCATTTCCTAGTTTTCCAATCTAAGCAGGCATGAGGACTTCCTTCCCAATTCTCTAAATTCTACTGAATTAATACCGAACTAGGTCATTTGTCCAAAATCAATAACAAAAAAGAAAAAATAAATTATCCCGGTAATATATACAAAAGATGAATTTTTTAACAACATATAGAGCTGGGAATCTCCAAATTTTGTAAAGCCAAGTAAAATTCTTCACTAAAACCCACATAGACCCAAGAAGTTTCACACAATAAAATCCACCATCTACCATTTTAGATCGTTCTGAATGGAAGGATAACTGAGCAAAAGTCGAAAAAAAAATATAATCTTGAAATCAGATTAAGGTCCAGATAATGATAGGAAACCATAGAAGGCCTCACCTCTTTGTTGCCGCAGATGGGTTCGCGTTGAAGATTCATTTCCATAATTCCCCCACTTTTCTGGGATATATACACACACGTCCCCGGTATATATGTATATACCCAGCTAAATGCTGATTTAATATATCCCACTGTGCTGACTACTGCACCTTCCTCAGCCCGGCCCGGCCCATCCCGACAGGTTAATCAAGTTGGGCCTCGCCCAAACTGCTGATATATTTTTTTTTAAAAATAAATTATTAAATTAATATTCAAATTTTTTATTTATTATAATTTTATCCCTAATATTTTTATTAAAATAAAATAATAAATAATAAATAATAAATTCATAAATTATAATTATCCATTAAAAAATTTTAATCAAGTGGGATCTGATCAGATCAAATAAAAATTGGAGAAACGAAGACCAGGCAGATCCACTCGGCTTTCGGGTCGGACCAGATTTCAATTAACTACATTCAAATATCCGATAATTATCCGACCCGATGGTCCATTGACAATTTTGACTGACCCGCTCCCATCTCTCCACTCCAATCTTTAGTCCCGTTAGTACGAGCCGGCACACGCCTCCTTCCCCCCCCCGGTTCGACCAGTTACCCTCTCTGCGTCATTGATTTGATAAACCCTTCTAAAACCCTATAAATCCAAAATGCGTACCACGCAATCACGATCACAATTACAGTCCCAATGACGAGAACTTGGAAAATTTGGAACACAGTCCAGCAACCACAGCTGCTATGCCCCCACCGCGGATCATCGTCCCTTTCCAATTCGTAACTTCACCTTCTTTAATCCTTACCAAATACAATATTCGTCCGTCTTCCCGCCATGTTTGTACCGACGTCCGATCCTCCCAATCGCAGTTAACTAATTTATTCCGTCTGTTTATAGAAAAACTCTCTGTCCGAGACGCCGGTAGGGGTTCTGGAGATGATGTGAGAAAGAAAGTGACAGATTTCAGAGAGGATTTGTTGCGAAGCGGTGACGATTTGGATAAGGCAGTTGGGGTTTTGGAGGAGAAAGGCGATTGGTTGTTTCGGAGTTACAGCGATGGATCTGCGGTACTCGAGCTATTGAGGCAGTTGCGCTCCTGGCCTCACTTAGCTCTTGAGGTGCTTCCGTTTACCTTTTTTATTAGAAACAAACACGCAGACATATATATATATATATGATTTAAAGCTGTGAACTTTGCTTTCTTGTTTGGTATTTGTTATGCCATTTTAGAGATCTTGTGTAGCTTTTATCTGGATTGTTGCTTATTTTGCTTGCTGATCAGTGTTATTTTTCATGCCATGAAAGTTGAGTGGGTGCAGCAGTGCACCTTATTTTGCTAAGCATTCTAGATGGTCAATGTTTTTCTGAAAGCGTGAAGTGAGTACGGATCTACGAGTTTCTCTGCATGTTTTTTAGAATTTCTTCTATGTTGATATGAATTAGCTTAGTTGATTTTGAGTTAGCATTCACAATTAAAGACTGTGTCTATTATTTTGTATAACAATCAAACAGTGGTCTTTTGAGCCTTACCACTATTAATCCATAAATATGGAAGCACATTTGAAGAATTGGGCATTGTTTTCTCGCACCTCAAATGACTTTGGCTTAAGGCTTTGTTTGGAATAAATCAATAAAGTTTGTGGTAAGTATAAAGTGATGAAAATTATATGAGAAAATTAGAAAAAGTAGCCACCTAGAAAATTCGTAGTTGAATTGCGTAAGAGTTTAATTTTTATCATTTTAGGTGAGATGTTTGCCTTATTATAGTTAAACTAGATGGAAATTTTTTAAATATACAAAAATTATTAAATTGTTCCAAAGATTGATTAAGTATTTTATGATATTATTTGAAACAAAATGGAGTTCTTTTCTTTCCATGGAAAATTTTGAATGCCGCCTAATCTATGTAGTTTGGCGTGTAACAGTGAATTGAAACTTAATAATTTTTTAGGGAAGAAAATGCGGGACGTTAGTTTTGTGGAAAACTTATTTGCATGCATGTTATCTTTCCTAATGATAGTTTTTTAATGTGTTTGCTTTTTTTTCCCTCATCCTATAAGTAGGTTTTCAATTGGAGGAAAAAGCAGGCAAGATGCAGCATCCCTGTGACACCAGAGGAGTATGCTATGGGTATTACAATTGCTGGTAGGCTTAAGAATATAGATCTTGCAGCTGAGCTTTTTGTTGAGGCTAGTGACAGGCGAATTAAAACAACCTCTACATACAATGCTTTGATGGGAGCTTACATGTGGAATGGTCTTGCAGATAAATGTCGCTCACTTTTTCGGGACTTTAAAAAGGATGAAAGTTGTAGTCCATCTATTGTAACATATAACATTCTCATATCAGTCTTTGGTCGTTTATTGATGATTGATTGCATGGAAGCAGCATACCTGGAGACAAAGGAGTTAAATCTTGACCCCAATTTGAGCACCTATAATAATTTAATTGCTGGATATGTGACCGCTTGGATGTGGGACAAGATGGAAGAGACATTTCAAGTAATGAAGACTGGTCCAATTAAGCCTGACCTTAACACTCAATTGCTAATGCTCCGAGGATATGCAAACTCAGGGCATTTGGATAAGATGGAAGAGACGTACAATTTAGTAAAACACCATGTTAATGACAAGGAAATTCCACTTATCAGGGCCATGATATGTGCATATTGTAGGAGTTCCGACAAGGATAGAGTTAAAAAAATTGAAGACCTAATGAGACTCATCCCTGAACATGAGTATAGACCTTGGTTGAATGTGCTGTTGATTATGGTCTATGCCCAAGAAGATTGCTTAGAGGTGATGGAAAACTCCATAAATGAGGCATTTGAGCATAAAACCTGTGTAACAACAGCTCGTATGATGCGGGTCATCGTTGCGAGTTATTTCAGGGGTAATGCAGTAGACAAGCTTGCTAATTTTGTGAGTCGGGCTGAATGTGCTGGTTGGCGAATATGTAGATCCCTCTATCACTGCAAAATGGTCATGTATGCGTCAGAAAGACGCTTGGAAGAAATGGAGAGCGTACTTCAACAAATGGAGAATGTCAAAATGAGACGAGTGAAGAGGACATTCCAGATATTGTACAAAGCATACAAAAGATATGGTGAAAAATATAAGTTTGATCAAGTAATGGGACTGATGTTAAAGTATGGGTATGGCATTCCTCTGGATTCTTCTTTGTCATAAGGCACTGGAAATCTCCCTTTAAGTGTTCAGCTGATCGTCATGAATGGTTCATCACATCTATGCAATGGGACTGGAGACCGAACAATTTATAGGTAAAAAGTCTTATCTTTCTCTTTCTCTTGGCTACATTATCCTTGTCTCAACTGAGTGTTTTCAATCTTCATTTTGGAGATTGTGACTTCTGTCACTACTTTTAGTTAGAATAAAGCTATATCATGAACCTTGACTAGACTCTGTGCTAGGCAGGAGAGTCCGTTGTCCGTTTATTGGCTTTAAGTCTAAACTCCTGCAACCAAGGATTTGTTCCCATTTTTCAGATAGGAAAAGTTTAGAGAAAGTAGGAAGTTCCTTTCTAGAACTGCACCAGTCTCGTGGAATTCTTGACAACCTTTTGCAATAACTGATGCAAAAGGAATTATCACTTTTGCTTCAATTGCAGAAGAATGCACTGGAAATTATTGCTGTCCTTGAGAGTTGATAGTGGATGCAAGTATTGATTCTTAGCATTTGTGGTTGGAAAGAGCATATCAGCAGCATAAAACTGATCTTCAAAATGAGGAGGCCAATTTTCTGTAAAATAGTGTCTTGAATTTGCAACACTGTTGTTTCCTTCTCTTGCTTTTAAATTCTTGTATGATGATTTAAGAAAACTATCAAGTTATTTTCCAATTCCTGCATGCCTTATCCTGAAATATGTGGATTGCGTGTCCTGTATTTATGATTGCACATCCAGTATCATTGATTGTAAACTCAGATTTTTTTTTTTTTCAATTCTTTTGATCACTAAAAGAAGATATTATCTATCCATGGTTTGTTTTCTGTGACTGACACCAGCAAAGATGTAGCTAGAACTGTTCCAAATTGTTCTCATTATATTTGCAACAATTGTAATGCAAAACAGTTTTGAAGCAAATTTTGGTTATTTTTTACACAGTTGATTGCACCATTATATGCTCTTTGATATGATATTATTCCATTGTACATTCTATTGCTAACCATCAAAACGTTCGTTGGTGGTCCTTCTGGCAAAGCTCTTCAGATTCTCCTACCCTCACCAGCCTCTGATTTTTTCCACTAACCTAGGCGGCTTTAGCTGCTTTTTCTCAGATCTAAAAGGGATTGGAGATCATCTAATGTTTTTTAGGCCAAGGCACAAAGGATGGTGATCAGATGTGACCCTAGGTTAAAGCTTTTGGATTAATCAGGCATTCTTCAAATAACACCTAAAGACAGTCTATTTAACATATAGAACCAACTTCGCTCAAGTTGGGCCACATCCATTGACCCCTATAAGTAGATCAATGAGCTTTAACCTATCCACCACCACTCAACTCTTTGGTACTCACCCTAGAGAGCCCCGTGCCCCTTTTTTCATGAAAAGACTGAAGTTGCAAAGCATAACCCAAGGCCAGTTACCTCATTGACCTAGCTGCCGCAAGATCATGCTACAACAAATGCCTTTTAATCCCTTAAGCCTTTTTTTGAGAAGAATGAATACCTTAAGCCTTAATGTGCATTGTCATAAAAAAGAAAGAAACACCCTCAATTCTACTTCTCAACTCACTAGAATTAGACACCACCCCTCTAAAGCTCATCACTACCAATTTGCTCTTGTACCGCAATAGGATAATGTCTCCAAACACTCCATTGGCGGGCAGATGAAACCATACTATCTTCTGATGACTTCAGACTCCCTTCATTATTTCTTTGCTCATGACTACAACTTTAGACTCTTCTAGACAAACCAGATTGCCACCTCACTCCTTAAGGAAACCCTCAACCACCACCTTTTTACTTGCATCATTCAAGCGCCTCATGTTGCAAAATCTAATCTATCACCATTCGTGGCCAATAAAATTAGAGGTTACCTATCTCCCTTCTTCAACTCCCTTGCCCTGTTTTTTCAACCCTTTTCCAAAAACCCTACTTCTGTAAGACCACCACAAGTCGACTCTCCCTCTCTTCTAGTCTAGTAGTCTATATAGCACTAAATAAGTTAAGGGCTTGTTGTTCAGACTCACTTCAAAATCCTCATATATTTTCTTTTTCTTTTTTTTTTTGAAACAATCCTCATACAGTTTCTTAATGTTGTTTTCCACCCAATCTGTAATTACCCTATCACAGCTAGCTCCACTCCCTGCCACTGTTTCACTACTGAGAGCATCTGTGAAAGCAACCGCTCCATTTATAGAATCTAAATCCAGGTCTAGAAGGAGTAGAAGATCTGAAGAGGAAGAGGGGATTGTACCTTGGCATAATGGTGGGAGCAGCCCTTGTTTCTAGACTGCCTTCTTATACACTGTCATAAGAACAACTTGGTTCTCCTTTGGTTGAGACGCAAGTTATTAGAGGACAGAGAGTCCTCTAAAACTAATGGTTGGGCCAATTTACTGATTTAAGAGGTTGGAGCTTTTGTAAACCCACTACCAGAAGCCTTTCTATGGTTGGATGCAACCCGATTTTGTTTTCCCATCTAATGAACTTTGGTCTTGGTGGGTTAGGATTAAAAACATTATCCCTAGGCACAACTCCCTTGCTAACCCTTCTCTTTTTATGTTTTTCAAACTCCCTCCTTTAGGTTGGTAATAACCATTTTCTGCAATGCAGAAATGTACAACTGCTGCAGAGGAACCAGGGTCTATACCTCCAGCTGGGTATTACGCAAGGGCAAAGAAGGGAATTGGAGCCTTCTTTATTCTGCCCCGCCTTCAACAGATCTCTGGCTTCCTATAGTTGAAGTTCCTGTGATGTGGCTTCCTCATCCTCCGAGCAGAACGATTCTTCAAGGGCTTTCCTCTCCCCCTCCTCCAAACTGATCTCGTAGAATCAATCTCCTGCTTTCTTCTCCTTCAGTTCCGGATAATGCCTGTTATGGTTTGGTTTGGTTTAAACCAAACTGAAAGAACCTTGCCCTCAGTCTCGTAAATATGGGAAAAGTGTTATGGCCCCTAAATCAGAAAGCTCCCATGAGGATTCAAAAGATGCAACTAATTTCCAGGGCTAAAAAGATAAGGAAAGAACCTTTCGTTTTCATCCAATTTGAAAGAACCCTTTCCTCACTCATATAAAATATGGAACATAAGTGTTCTGGCTCCTGATCCAGAAAATTAACATAAGGTTTCAAAAGATAAACTCATTTCTAGGCTAAAAAGAAACAGAGAACCTTTTGTTGGCTTCTAATTCATTGATTCTACGGATGTCCTCAACTTCTCCCTCCCAAACCACATTAAATGTTTTCTTTCTATCCCCGAGAACTTTCTTGGCGATAGAAATGACATGGTTGAGGTCTGACCAGCCAGAAAAGAAAGCACAAACCCCAAGGAATAGAGGATTTCTCTCCCTAAAAACTCAGAAAGTATGACCCTCAGTATCTTTTCCCAGTATTAGGCCTTTCACAAGATTTATGGATTATGGTATGTATAAAAACTGAATTGACGAGGCACCATGCCACCTGTGTACAAAAAATGGTTTTAGAAGTTAGAACATTAACAAGGTCTCCAAGGTCCTCAAAAGAAAGAGGCTACCTTTAATGAAGAGCAAAGAATCTAAAAGTAAAACTTGACAAAAGCATCACTAAGGATGAAAGATGAAGAATCTTTGAATCACTAAGTTTGACAAAAGCAGTTTCTAAAATATGAATCTTTGGGCAGAAATTCTAGTTAAACTCATTCATTTTACTTCACTGGTGGCTTAACATAGACCTTGATTAGGAAGTCGAACAGCCTGTGATTTTTGGTCCCACAGGAGGAAGACCGACTTTAACTGGGCAGTTCTCTTCTTTCTCTTGCTCCCCAGTCCCTTACCGCGGATAAGATTGGATCCTATTAATCAAGAAAGAATAATATCTATCCGTTAATCTGCAATAAAAGTTGAAAATCAAGTTGCTTTGCCTGATTGAAATATCCCTGTAATTAAAGATTTTGGGGCTTGCTTTTCTGAGTCAAAATCAGGGAGAGATTTGTCCCCATAGTTCAGAAGTTTAACACCTCCATTTATAATAGCTGAAATGATAACTCTTTCTATCATGACTATTTTATTTTTCGATCCATCTGATTGATTGACTGTTTATAATAGGGTTGTTGAAATGCTGAATGCTTGAGAGGTCAAAACCGAGATTCTAGCCAGTAATATTCTTCTGCTCGAAGCTGGGGCCGCTTGACTCGATTTTGTAGAATAGTAACTGACGCAGGAGAGGCAAACTTTTCTTTGAATTGAGAGTAATAAACTTGAGAGGGATTTAAACTCACAGGAGTTTTGCTTCTGTTTGTCATCATTTGAAGCAGAGGAGGCTGGGTTTCCATCTTGGCAATTGCAAATGGTGATTATTTCTAAATCTTATGGTGTAAAATATTATGGATTGTAGGAATAGTTCTCATAGTGAGATCATAATCTTAGCAATTCTCTTCTACCATTGCTGGAGCTTGATTGGTGCCGTCGAAATTGCGCGAGTCAGATTTTGTAACTGTAAGTTGTAATGCTAAAATATGTTTAGCAGGAGACAAGAAAGTTAACCAATTTGAATAATGATGATCTAATTTATTCTGCTACTTCTACCCTTTCGAGGGCTTTCTCTTGCTCTTTCTTTTTGTTTTTGTTTTTTTTTTCTTTCTCTTTTGGTTTGGGGGGGGAGGTGGGGATAAAGTAATTCAGCCATACAAGAGTTGAGCTTGATCTTCCGGATTAAGATTGATTTGATTTAGTGGGTAGATGGCAATTGAATAGATTAAACAAAGCTACAATGGTCAACATTTCAGTTCTCATATGTAGGTTTTAGTCAACTTTTCATGTTCAATATGAAGCTTCTCGTGAACCCCTTGTGCAATTAACTGTGTGATTAGTTGTTTTCAAGGGTGGAATTTGATTTCTGTGGGTTCGAAGCCAATTGCCCCAATAGAAGACTAATGGATGTTGGTGGGTGTCTTAAGGCTCTGATTGTACTAATTGCTTAGGACCCAAAATCATGAATGTAAATTTCTTTGCTCAAGCTTTGTCTTTAATGGTTTTTAATAAATGAAACTTGTCTTTAGTGGTGGTTGGGTTGAGTTATGCCATGAATGTAAGTAAATATATATATATATATATATATTTAAAAGTATATATATATATATAATAATATTTCAAACTTGTGATTTTGTGGAAGTAAAAATTTCATGTCTTAAAAGTGATTTATCAAGAAAAGCCAAAGCATTTTTTTTTTTGGAAAAAAATATAAACTTATATAGCTTTAGAGTTTGGGAATTTTCTAGTAAGTTGGTGGCCTTTCACATCATCTCCTTTTATTTTCACAACGTGCCATTAATGGGTCATTCCATTTTGGACTTTTCCCATCTTTATATATATATATATATATATATATATATAACTTAATATTTATAAATTAAGGTAAATTAAACCATTTAATATTTCAAAAAAATATTTACACGTATTTCATTTATAAAATTATATAAATTGAGTAAAAATTTTTAAATATTATTTTTAGGGTTCATTTGTATTAAAACAAATATAAGAAAAATCAAAAGACAAGATTCAAAGTGTGAAACACCCATTAATTTTTCTAAAAAAAAAAAATTAACACACTCATTAGATTAAACAAAACTAAAGATTTTGTGCTTAATCACAAAGTTAATAATATTATTAAGTTAATAAGAAAGAACATTGGTTGAGAAGGACGCGACGGTGTCGTATTGGAGAAATATGTCCAAGACACAAACAGCTAATTTAGAAGGGACAGTTCTTGATAAGACATGGGAAGAAAGAACAACTTATGATTAAAAAAATATCTAATTCTTCACCCCCTCCCAAAAAAAAAAATAAATAAATAAATAAAACCCAAATTAAATATTTTCTCGATTGACATATGTATGTGTATATATATATATATATATATGTGTGTGTGTGTGTGTATATGTATATAATGTATATATAATAAAATATTAAGATATAATCTTAAGCAGGCAAAAGAAGGGTTCATCAAAGTCAATTAGACAAGGTTCCTTGTCTCTTTCCAAAGCTTAGCTGTTTCTTCCTGCCACTCATAGAACCCATTTTAAAAGCATTCACAATTCACAATTAAATTAATTTTCTCTCCATCCAAACAAGTCAAAAAAAGTTTATGTTAAATTTAAGTTCATATGAAAAACTCCCACATATAAATCAAAATTTTATGCAATATTTTATACTAAATTTTCAAAAATTTTACAATCTTATAAAAAAGTTCGACCAATTATTTTCGTTTCAACATTGAATTGTTATTTTTCATAACATACGAGACGAGAAAATAATACTACAGTCGAAGTTTATACAAAATTCGACAGATAGTGTATTTATTTGGATTGTAAACGGAGAATTAAGATGGTCCCTTTTTAAGAATAATTCCAAAATTTTCCGAACTAGTGAGAGATAAGTTTCCCCTCTCGAAAACAAAACAAAACAAAATTAGGGTTTTGGGATGTGGGTGTGCATAAATTAATTGACCCAAAATTCCACTCCAAGACAACTACTACTCAAAACCATGTCCATACATGATTTTGACCCTTTGTCCAATCACCTTGTTTTTTTTTTTTTTTTGTTTTCTTTAAATAAAACTTCAAGCAACATTTTATAATTAAAAAATATATAACTATATATTAAAAAATAATAATTTTAATGTAAAAAATTTCAACAAGACAATATAATTTTCTAAGATTGATGAGTAGGAATGTGGGATTAATTGAATAGATTAAAAAGTCATTTTGTATTGGTTTAATTTTCTATGTATCTTCTCCCAATAGATGGAGGAAGAGGAAGAGGAGGAGGCAGCCCACTATATGACATACATGGTTTATGCTTTTTCAAACTAAATTCAAGTTTAAATCCTTAATGGGATACATAGAAAGTGGGTGATCTTGAACTTTGGTGGATATTCAACTCACCAACTATATAGCTATGAGTTTTGTTTAATAAAATATTTGATGATTTTATATATATATATATATATATATATGTATGTGTATAAATCAATGTAAAAATTTTGTTTCTTCTTTAAATATTCATATTTTTTTGGTAAGAAGTTAAAAATTGAAGTATTATTTAATTAAATAGTTGTTACGTTTCTTTTTATATAACAGATTGTGGGTTCAAATCGAAATTCGTTCTATTACATTATATATTAAAAATGATCAATTGAAAAAAAAATTGTCTAAGATTAGAAAATGGGAGAAGATAGTGGGATAAGATTTGTAGTATCTATTTTCTACCATTTGTAAAAAGCCATTGGAAGAATATTTTCTCTCGGGGACAAAATTTGCCCTCGAACTTTACTGTCTTCAAAAGGTGACTAAATTATAGTAATGGAGAATATTAATCTTTTTTTTTTTTCTCAAGTCAATACATATTCTTACCCAAAACAACTAAGTCGAAATCGAAACATGATTCGTCGAAAATTCTACCCTACTACATTAAAGATTCTTTCGGTCGAAGAATTATCTCTACTTTCGTTTATGTTAAGAGAATTATTTTTAATTATTGACTTGATGATCGATGAAACATTAAAAAAAATTATTACTGAAAGACATAATATCTTTAAATTTGCGAGAAATAGAATATTCTATTTATTTTTACGTAAACTATTATAATTTTTCGTACTTGTGAATGTGTAATTACACCTCCTAACATAGCTTAGGAATTTCTCAAGAAGAAAAAGCTGCATCATCAATTTAAGTATCATCTTCCCAACTTATATAAGAACAAGCTAGTCAGAAAAGCAAACAAAATCTTCTCTATGATATATATATATATATAAACTCTAGAACACATGTATAGACATACAATTCCGTAATAAGAAGGATATATGTATTACATAACTGTATATAATATACTTATATTTTTAGAACTTGCTAATTCTTTGCTCTAACATTAGTTCTTGTTACTATCCTATTACTAAAATCAATTGATGATCAATCACCAAAAGTTACCCCAGCCTTCTGATTCCCCTTGTCTGTGGCCGGAAGTTACCGGGGTAAACTCCGTTCGATCTGGTGGATGTTCCGCCAAATCCCACAAACAAAATCTGACCTGTGAATCACCGGAACCTCCAGCCTTCTCCAGTTTTCAATATCCTCCCAAAGGTACAAATTTTGTTTGTATCTGGAGTTAAGAAGACAAAGAAGTCTCCCAAATGTGAACAACTCCCATTTCTCCACCACCAAGAACTGTAATGCAGTAAGATACACAATCATATATATATATATATATATAGATAGATAGATATATAACTACACTCTCATCACTCCAAAACCGGAAAAACAAAAACCCAGTTGATCAATATTGTTAAGAGCTTCTGTTTTGTGAGTCTGACTGCCTGTTGTTAAAAGGGTTAAACAATAAGGAAGGTATTAACAGTTAGGATGGATGAAGTCTTTAATCTCCTCCATTAGGCAATAGAAATGACTGTTGTTTGGCAAGAAGTAGAATCCAATTGTTGCCTGCTCTAGGAAAAGAAGTTTCACAGCCTGACCAGCTTTCCTCAGCCCTTCGACATAATTCAATTGCCAATCTTGAATAAGATCGAAACCCGCTACTACCACAAGACTTTTCGGAAACTTGAGTTCTTCTATGTTCTTGCCTCTAGGGCCAAATGGGTTTGAAGCAGGATGATCTCTATCTTCTCCTTCAGGGAGGAAAGCTCGCCAATACCAATCTCGGTCTTGGATTGTAACAAAGTATTTTCCATCCAATCTCTTTTCTGATTCTGTTCTTTCTTGCCCACCAAACATGGGGTGAAGTAGGATATTACCAAACACCTCAATGTCTGATTCAGCAGCCCTTACTGCGACATTATGAGCTATATTACCACCAGAGCTATCACCGGCCAAGTAAACATAAACCTTTGAATCTTTCCCACTCTGCAACCAAGTTCTTGACTTGACCCACTTGAGAGCAGCCCAGCCATCATCATATGCGGATGGGTACCGATACTCCGGTGACCGGCGATAATTTACAGAGACCACGACAGCTTTACAGACACTAACGAGGCGGCGACAGAAGGTGTCATAGATAGCACTATTGGCTGATGAATGAGTGAAGCTTCCGCCATGGAAGAAAACAATGACTGGAACAATCTCGGTTGTGCTGAGGGAATTTTCGAGATCAACAGTTCCCCATTGAGTGGGGTTGCTGGGGGCTGGTTGGTAAACTCTGTTGAGAAGGCCGGTGGCTCGATCGACATGATCGAAAGAGAAAACCCCGTCAACTGGGATTGTATTTGCCGGCAATTTCCGGTCAAGAAACTCGGCGAGTTCCCGGTTGAATGAGCCGTCGGAACGGCGGAGGATGTTGTAAGCCAGCTTGAAATTTGAAATGAGGACCCACGTATTCAACGGGACAACTCTCTACAAAGAAGATGAACGATTCAACAATAGAGAACAGAGAAGAACAGGAGCAAAAGTAATCAAAGACCATAAAATGATGAATGCAAATTTGTAAGAAGTAGAAGAAAAGGGCTGGTCTAAAATTAGACCAAATTTGCAGGAAGAAAACCTACAAACTTCCCAACTTAAACTTTTTATCCCAAAATTTAAATCCAGAACGAAGAAACTGGAACAGACCCAGATGAAATCAAGCAAAACCCAGGAATTAAAACAACATGATACCTCTTAATCAACAAAAATTCATTGGAAAAAAGCACGAATTGGGAAAATTATTACATCCTTCAACTCATTGTTTAGAGAGGAAAAGAAAAAGAAGAAAAAAGAAAACCAATTTGCTCTGCTCCAATCCAACTCAACAAGAAGAATAAACTAACCCAGAAAAAAAAAAAGGCATAAGAGACGAACAGTAGAAGAACAGAAAAAAAAAATTATATATACCTTGGATTCATTGAGATTAACTTCATTACCGCCAGCCATAAGAGGTCTCGGCAAACAAGACCCAGAAACCCAGAAAGATGTAGAAGAAAAGAAGCGATGAAGGAGGAGGGGAGGTTGATCTTCAAAGAAGCATTAAAGTCGTCTTCCTTATTAGAGTCATAGTGACGCTATTTTATTCCAAACCGAAAAAGATAACTCCAAGAGAAGTACTGAGCGGTGAACAAGTACACAAAAAACAAATAAACAAACAAACAAAGCACCCTTCTCTCTCTCTCTCTCTCTCTCTCTCTCTCTCTCTCTCTCTCTCTCTCTGTACAATTACGGAGTAGGTTTGCTTTTATTTGTACCCTCCTGTGATTGATTCCTCGTTTTGAGCTCTGCAGAATGAAGAGACACTTGCTTATCTGGAACAAGAAAACGCAGAGCAATAGATGGAGAGAGAGAGAGAGGAATGAGAACTTATATACTCGAGAGGAAGAAGAGAATGTACAGAGAGAAAGAAAGGGTTAGAGAGAGAGAGAGAGAGAGATTTGAGTCAAAGGCAAAGAGAGCGACGGTGGTGGACGGAGACGAAGGAGACGACAAACGGGGCGGCAGAATTAAACTGTTTGCGTGGGGCCTACCCACTTCTCCATTTTTCTTATGTGAATTTCTTTCACATACAATGTGTATATGGGTTTTTCTTTTTTTTTTTTTTGGAAAAAAATGTTACATTTTTTATAATTAAAAAAATTTAACTGAGATAAAAAATTTTTTTTTACTTAAATATGAAATAATTTATTAAAATTAAAATTAATTTTATTATTATAATTTTATTAATGCATTAATAAATTAAATTATAAATTTTATTAAATATAACATTTATAAAATAATAATTTTTATATTTTTAATAAATTTAAATTTATTACTTTCAAATGTGCAATATTATATTGATAATTTTTTAATTAAAAAATTTTGGTAAATTTTTTTTTTAACCTAGTACTTTAATTACATGAATCTAATAATTATTAAATATTTTTTTATTTATATATACTAAAGTTTTATAAATACTAAATTAATTATCACAGTCCCACCAACATATAATTTATAAATCTCACTAAATGAAATAATACCACTATTAATCATAATATATTCATATAGTCACAAAATTTACATTCTCCGTAAAATTAAAATTTATAATTTTTAATTAGAGTGTAAGTTTAATAATCAAATATATATATATATATATAATATATAGTAATCAACATGTAAAAATTAATTTGATTAATTAGTTAAATAATTTAGGTGTTAGAGTTTACATACATTATATTTTAATAAACTACTATAAATATCAACCTCACAAACCCTCAAATATCCGGACCTGAAATTTGATCCGGAATTAATTTTAAAGTTAAAAAATATATATAAAAATATAATTTATAAATTTATAAATTTCGTTTAATGTAAATTTATGAAAAAAATATATTGATAATGAAATTGAAAACAATTTTTTAAAAAATGGAAGAAAATTTAGGTTTTCATAATATTTTTAAAAGAAAAATCGAAAACTATGGTTCAAAACACAATTAAAAAAAATTTGTGTCACTTAAGACTGTCCAGTCTTCAGCCCCAACTGTAACGGCCCCGGAAAATATTAAAAAAGAAATGAGTATTTAAATATATCGAATGCGGAAGCGAGATCAAAATTTCAGTTAACATCCCTTACACGAAAAACCAAAAAACGTACTTAAAATATAAAAGGTTAAACTAACTAAGAAAGAAAACTCGAAAATAAACTATGCGTATGACTACAGAGTCTCTAGGCATCCCCTTCGTCGTCCTCATGCGGAACGGGCTCGGGAACCATGTCTTCCTCATCTGAAATGGTTAATTAAGGAGTGAGCTACACTAGCCCAGTAAGAACATCACGATATCTCACCGTCACGGAGATAAAGGTGGGTAGAAAAACACAAAAAAGACCAATGGAGCATAATTTACAACAAACTCGTTTATTAACATGAAAACCTTTACCATCCACTTACCTTGGTGGAATTTATGAAAACAATATGAGAAAAACAATAACATCATCATAATCATTGAATAATCTAAGCTGTAAAACATAACACTTATCACGCCTCTTGTAATTCAATCATTGTACAACATATCTTTTTCTCATTTACCAGCCTACTAGTATCCGTGGGGGTCCATAGGGGTTCCGCTACCCGTTAACCTTTAACATTCATAATCAGTTTCCAGGACCGTCCCCATACCCCGTCCGGTATGGGCGCCAAAATCATAAACCTCAACACCCCGTCCGGTATGAGGGTGAAACGGGCCGTCCCCATACCCCGTCCGGTATGGGCGCCAAAACCATAAACCTCAATACCCCGTCCGGTATGAGGGTGAAACGGGCTGTCCCCATACCCCGTCCGGTATGGGCACCAAAACCATAAGATCTCCATACCCCGTCCGGCATGTGAGACCACAATCCCGGTAGGGTTCCCTACGGACCCGGTCCGTCCACCATCTCCCAGGATATCTAGTCAGGCTGACCCCATCATACAATTATCAGTCTACACAATGTTTCATTTCCCTTTTCCTCAATAAGCATCATCAATTCACATTTAAACAAGCAAATCGTAATTCATGCCGAACAGACAACATACAGTATCAGTTCTTCAGTCATTCAACCCATAATTAATAAAACAGTAATATATGCACTCGAAACTATAAAATGAACACATCAAACCCCATAATGCATTTAAAGCTGTAAAACATGCCAAATAACAGTAAATCATCAATCACACTAGACTCGGGCTCCATTAGCAACCTTAAGCAATTTCACACATGCGTTAATTCAAGAAATACCGTTTTATCATTTTGAACTTTAATACCGTGATAGAAAATAGGGTGAGGGGTCCTTACTTGTTTTCGGGATCCGAATACGATTCACAGTGCGCCTGCAGGCTGTCCCTAATTTTCCCTGAATTTTTCCCGGGGAACTGAAACACGCTAACAGTACCTGCACGTGTTCCAAAAAAAATCCAAATTAGGCCCAGGGCCTCTTTCGGCCCAAATCGCAACTCCGGCACGGCGGCTCCGCCGTGCTCCGGCGACGGCGCCACCGCTGGCGGCGGCGAGTCCCCTCGGGTTGACTGTTTTCGGCCGTTTTTGGCCGAATTCGGCCACACTCGCATTGGTCCTTGTCAGAAAACAACCCTAGGGCCCTCGGGGGGCCAAAAAATCACGGAAAAGCGGAGCTTACCGGCGGCGGCGCTCTCGGGTACGGCGACTCTCCGGCGAAGTTCGTGTTTTGGTGATTTGGCTTCGGTCAACCTGTAGAGAAAAGAATGGTGATCACGGTGATATAAAAATTGCATCGAACGGAGGCCGGGAAGGGCCTCGTCGGAGGCAAAAACCGAGAGGGGGCGCGGCGGCGCCGCTGGGCTTCGGCCGCGTATTCCGGCCGTTTGGCCGGGATTTCGGCTTCGATTTGGCCATAGGAGGAATCAGTGGGGAAAAACGAGTCGGGGGTATGAAATTTACCTCGATCGGCGGTCGGAAATTTCCCCGGTGCGGCGGCGAGTGGCGGCGGGTGGCGGCGGTCGGCCTTTGGTTCGTTTTTTCCGGCGAGCGGCTGGCGGCTAGGGTTTTTGGTTTGGTGTGGGGGTTCTATTTATAACCCCTTGCCTTTTGATCACAGCCGTTCGTTTCGTTTTAATTTGGGCCGTTCGTTTTTGATTGAATTTGGGCCGTCCGTGCGTTTGAATTTGGGCCGTCCGATCGCGTGATTGATTTGGGCCGTCGGATCGCACCCACGCGGATCGCCAACGTGGCTCCTTTCGGAGTGACGCGATCTTGCCACGTGGCAGGCCCCGGTTGGCCGGGACTGCTGACCGGGCCTGCTGACGTGGCTGCTGACGTGGCCCCCCCCCCCTTTTTTTTTTTTTTTTTTTTTTTTTTTCCTCCTCCTTTCCGGGCGCTACACCAACGAACTGGAACGCGCCGCATGACAAGTCACGCTGACTTAATACCACTCGGGAGGCCACGCTGGCAATTCGCGTGCCAGCGATCGGATGTCCGGATGCGTTTCCACGCGCGTGGACAGTCCGGA